TCTGTGCCAGCTTCGGCAAAAGACAAATGGAGTCTGGAACAGACTCCTTCTATATGTTCGCACCAGGTTAATCTTGGCCTTCCCTTGGGCCTTTTGCCAGTCGGATCTGCAAGGAACAGTTGCTTAGCCTTCCTTTCTGGAGGCATTCGCAACACATGCCATCGCAGCTGTGACTTCTTAATCTGGAGAAGCAAAGGCTGTATAGCGAGGCTCTTCCGGACCATGTGAACGCCGCGTTGAATGACAAAGCAAAATGGTGTTTTCACACAAAATTCCCTGCTAAACGTGCCGTGAGCACATAAGAGCACTTTTGCAAACAGTAGAAGTGCAGAATGCGTGGAAATGCCGGTTAGACAAATCATATGATTGTAAATGATCAGCGGTTAACACTGTGCATCCTTGTTAGCATGCATGCATGTTAACATGTTGAGCATGCTACTTTTGCACCGGCTGGTGCGGAAAATCTCCTGCTAGGGTACGAATCTTACATATTGGAACAGATCAGCGACAGCAAAACTTTAGTACTTTAAATATGCATCCAACCCGAGCCATCAACGGTTACATAACCATTACAATACTCCGGAGATAAAGGCATGGTCACAAGACAGATAACATCAATTGAAAACAATACGCGGCATTGTTTCTGCCACAACTGAACAAAAATAGTGCAGCAGTCATCATTACCTATTTTTAAAGTTCCTATAGAAGAAAAACAATCGATCAGAAGCTTTTCCAGCAAGGAAATGTTAAACTGAGCAAAGGAAAACAAAACTGACTCGCCAGAGGCTACACTTTACACGGTGAAAAGATTTTATACAGAACAAGTTTAAAACGGGAATAATTGCGCTGAAAAATAAAACATTTCAACTAAGACAGACTTGACGTCCAAAAAGTAATGTAAACTTCAGATAAAGCGGATAAGTACGGAACATTCATGCCTAAAATTAGCATTGCACTTAAAACGGCTAGACAAATATCGTTCTTATCAGAGGCAATCTGATCCTAATATGCATATAACCGAACTGAGGTAACGGAAACGATACAATAAAAATTTACAATCGTATCTTGACAAGGGGCAATCACGCAAAATACATAACAGAATTTGCATCCGGATGAATCTGCACCGCACGAGCCATGGAACTCATAGTGGTTTCTTCGCTGGTACCTGAAGGCTGACTACCTTCGCCACTAAAAAAACCTCTTTATTACTGTTGTTTTTAAGCAGAAAACAGAGGCTCGTCTACCTATCATGATCGCGGTCGACTAAATGATACCGTGCTCGGAATGCAACTAGATGGGCATAGTAAGCAGGCGCAGGAATGCTAACGCTTCGTGTGCAACGAACGTATGTGTGGCAAAGCTGATAAGTCAACTGTTGTAATTCATCGGCTGTCAGGTTATTATCATCCCAGAGTACGTGGTAGTGGCTTGGCCGACTAGTACCCTAAAA